AATAACAGGAATAATAAAATAAACATTGGGAATGACAAATTCGTGAAATTCATTTTTATAACATGGCAATAAAGAAATCATGCTGTATTATTACTAAATACAAACAATAACTGACTTAAATGTAACTTTAATGAAATAGCAATTAATATAGTTCTATAGAAGAGGTGTCATAATGGCTAGCACATTTTTATTTGCAATTATATTTCAGGAATGCTTTCATATGTAAATATAAATAAGTGTCTTTTATGCCATAAAGAGTGTTGAAAAAAGTTACCATCTTTAAAAGGACACTCTCAATTACTTTAATTATCTTGTAATATTGATTATATAGAAGGGCCATGGATACATATGGAAAATTTCATACTAATTATTTCACTGGTAAGTATCAGCTGCATTAATACAAGTTATCTATCATTTATACTATTTCTTACCTCTGTAAAAAGTCTACAATGCTGGGTGATAACAGTAGAGTCTTATGGTTTATTATCAGACTAAATTTATCTTTTGCAGATGGAATAAACTTCTTTAAACAAGAAGGCAAATGCCCGTATTTTGGCAAAGCTTAGAATCTTTTTCTTCTAACATTATCATCAAAATAGACAACATATTTAGAGGATAAATTGTGTCCCTCATCCTCCCAGAGGAGAGAACCAGAGGGAACAGATTGCAGTGTGGAGACAGCACAGGCATGAAGAGTGACTTCCTATAGGCAAGTTAATACTTGTGCTTCGTGGTCTGACAAGCCAATGAGAAGTTTAGATAAGAAAACCATTTCTTGTCCTTAAAAATCAAATTTTCTGTAGGAACATACTGCATATAGGTCCTATAAAATCATTTTCCACACAAAGTCATCTAATTTAAGATCTGTCCTATTTTATTGAGATAAGAAATTATTAAAATGTGAAGCTCTAAAAATAGTGGCTTATAATTGAAAGGCTAATTCTCTCTTAATTATAGGTATGCTACAGTGGCATTATAATTAGGGATGATCAGTAATTCCAAAATGAATCAGACTTTATCATTCCCTCTGTACAAGGATATGCATAGGTTCCACAAACAGAAAACTGCAAAAAATGGAGATGTAGACTCATTTTCTTCACATCTCTTGGTGGTTACAAGATTGTTCTCCATTTACTCTCTCTTTCAAGCAAAACAAAGTAAATATATCATGAATGTTTCATTTAATGATCATCACTGAAGGAAAGTATAGAGTTTAAATTAGAAAATTTGCAGTTTAAATTGAACTTCTACAACAATTATATACTCACTGACTTTACTAAACTAACATTAATGTAATCTGGTTTACCACTATTTACCTGAATCTGAAAATATCTTAGACATTAATGGAAGAACAAACATCATCTTAGTACAGAACAGATCTCTGACTATTAAATAAAATATTCATCTTATAAATTTATATGAAGTGCTTTTATCTCAAGAAGAATATACTTTAATTAAACAATATTGAAACAAAAGACTAGGAGTTTGAAATTCTGAATTCTATTTTAGAACTGACCATTAATTTTTAAATGGCCTCAACTTATTTTTTAACTTTCAGTTAGTTATTATTTGAAATTTAGACAATGACCTCACTTCTCAAATCAATTTCTGCAATGCTAAATACAAACCTCTGCCTATGATGAAAACCAACAGTTGACTTGGTTTTCAAGTCATACTTGAGATAAACTCAGTGGTAACAGAGAATTTAACAATAATATAACTAATAAAACTCCTAGTTGTAAAAGAGCATTTTAAAAAGCTATCATTAAAGCCAAATTAAGCCACATTACAAAACATGAAGATAAATGCTAGAACTTGAAAGCTTAGCAAATGGCAAAAGTGTATTATTGCACATTGAATCAGCTATTTTACTGGGTCTTGGCTCCAAAAGTAGGCAGAATGAATGGGCAGAGAGCAAAGTAAGCAATACATGTTTTTAGTCTGGCTTCAGCCCACTTCATCCATATCCCGTTCCTGGTAGGCTGGACCATGGAAATCAGTCTGCCAGCCTTCACCCTGCTCTGTATCTGACTTACACAGAAGCCCCAAAATTCCAAAGGGAAGTTGAGAGAAGATGAACCTAAAACCTGCGGTGAATGTTAATTTTGAGGATAGAAACAAGAATTCCCTTTGTCACATTTTTCCACAAAAACTCAGTAATTCAACCACACTACAGCCAATAGACAAACTGCAGTTTACCCTATGATATAAGGGAACAATATTAATGAAAATCAAATATTTTTGTCTTTAAAATGTCTCTAAATTAGCTTCATCTTGTTTAATACATTTTATATAACATTCTATGAAAAAATGATTGACCCAAAGGGAATCTGTTATTCAATTTCCCTTCAGTAATTCAGTAAACTCTAGGTGAAAGGGATGAGACTTGCTGGATACAGTTGGAAAGCCATAGTATCCCAGAAAACATTTTGAGGATCGGAAGCAAAAATAAGATTTTCCTCGCTATTACCATCATGGCATCCAATTATCAAATATTATTATAATACTGTTAGCAAAACTGCTCAAAACTACTTATGAACTAGCAATAATTTTATTTAATCCAACTTGAAGAAACAAAACTTTTGTATATGTAATTTCCCAAATCTCAACCATTTCATATATTTCAATGAAAGAATTAACATATCAAGTTCCTATTCTCTTTGGTGAAGTGTGCTGTTTTGTTGGCTTCTCTTTTTTTTTTTTTTGGTACAAAAAGAATATTGTGATTTTAAATAATTTTGAGCCCACAATCTTCTTTCTCTAGATAAGGAGAAGCTGACTACAACATCATACGCACTGAGACCTAGCCAATGGCATTTCATCAACAGTTCCTTTTGGAGACAGTTTGAGAGGAACTGTGAGGACTTGCTTAGGTGTCGACCATATCTGATGCTCTAGCATTACATCGGTAAGTGTAGATGTAATGAGTAACAGAACATGAAGACAGTGAAATAAATCCAGAGACTCTGATGCACAAGGAAAAATAGCATAGGTAAAGAACCCTGGCTAGGAGGAAAAGACTTCAGCATACTTATTAGTTGCATGAATTTGATCAAATACCCAAAATTACCTGAGCTTCTATTTAATACACAGATATCAAATAAAAATCATTGCCCTGACTATCAGACAGATATTGTGAGATTCAAAGAGGTAAGCATAAGAAACTTCTTTGGGGAGCTATACTTATGAATTACCTAAATATCCATCATCACTTCTTTATTACTCTAGGGAAGAAAAGCCTTACAACCTGATAAAACCTCCACAATTGCATATTGGAACAAATGGGCTCCATGAGGTTAGTGCACTGAAACAAAAGAGTAGCAATGTTCTTTTCCTGAACTCATCTAGCTTTCTTATCTTGTCTACTAGGGATTGTGAATACACTGGCCATATAATTCTGGCATCACCAACATGTGTTTATATGATTGATTCAGTGAAGATATGCAGAAAAGCTTTGTGAATGTGAATGCGTAGTAGCAGAAAATAGTTGTCACTACTATTGTCCAAACAAGGTAATAACGGAAACTCTCCATAGATGCATTCTCAACTGGAAGAGAGTATTTGAAAATAATTAAGATTATTTTAATCAACCTAAGTAGCACCAAGTCAACTATGTTATAACAGGCTTCTACATCATTCTCATAGATCTCATTTACTTCAGGAGGGAGCACCTTATTTTTTCAAATAAGAACAAGAAAGCCACATGCATACAAATATTAAAAATGCTTTCAAATGTACTTCTAATTGAGGAACATACAGCATTTTAATTTATTTTAATAAATCCATTGTTATAAAGCTAGAGCATTGTTATACTGAGTATTCTTACACATATTGCATATATGTTTAGAAATGATAATACATTGTCATTAGTAGCAAATCTACATTATAAGATTCTTACTAAAATCTGCCTTACAGTAAAAAAAAAAAAGGTACTGATGGTCCACATTTTTGCACTTAAATTGAGGTATCTAATTAATTCATCAAGGTCCTGTACTCTCCACATACACCCAAGTTAAATCTGTTATTAGCTGTGGTTCTACCACCCCCACCCCCAGAATCCTTTTTCCCCGAGTATCTTCAGCTGAACTAAAGTTATTCAGAAAAGAGACCAGAGGTAATGTAGCATGAGATGGCCAAAGGGCCATCAGTATTTTAACATTTGGCAAATTGAAGGCCCCAATCCTAATTCAGGAATAAGTTTGATTAGATCTCACTCAAACTCAGATATATTCAAAGTTATTTGTAGATTATCAGAGGCCATTATATGTCACATATATTGACTTTAGACCTAAGTTAATCAGCTGGATTTAAACATTTTCATAGAGTTTTCTTACATACACAATAGTAGAAAGAAAGAAAATTATGCCAACATCAAGCCCTTGGGCTTATACTATAGACCAAGAACATAAGAACAAAAGTTAAAAGAAAAAAGTAACCCACATCTAATAGACACAATATAAATATGCTACATATTTAAGAAATTAGGAAGTAGAGGGCTTTTGTTAGCTTTTCCTTGGAAGCTTTGCACATAACATGCAGTATCATCACATACGAACCTAATCTGTTTCCTTATGCATAATTAACATAACTGGTTTGAATGTGAGTTTTTCAATTATAAACTAGGTAAGATACATGTAGTCATATTTATTTAAAATCCAACAAAAATAAGGTGTTTTGTTGAAAACATAATAATCTAATCTTAACTATATTTTGCTTCAATTTCGTTCCAAAAGGACACTCAATTTTTGTACAACAGATTCATTGCAACATTGTGGATTTTCTCCTAAGGAGTTATGAGTCAGAAACTAGAGCTAGACCTAAGTATCCGGATAGGAAAGTGTCAGAGACAGAGACAAGGTCAAGAGCAGAGATAAAATTAGAGACAGAGATAGAGGTCACTTTCACATAGTACCTTGGTATTGACTCCAGGAGGGGAAGCAAAGTTTAAATAGGTTAAATTTCAGGAACAAAATCAGAAACTACAAAACAGAATCTCTTACCCTGAAAAACTCTTTAGTGGAGCCAGAGTCTAATGTTCCATAAGCAATTTCTGTTTGCTTAGAAAGATCCTCAGCACTTTCGATGGGAGACACCATCCTCTCTACAGTCAGGAAGGCAGCTAAGTTAGCCGTGTAGGAGGAGATTATGATCAGGGTAAAGAACCACCACACACCTCCAACAATGCGCCCAGAGAGGGATCTAATAACAAGTATGAAATGGATTTGTAAAGTGAAATGAATGGCCTAATAAAAACACAAGTTAACAGCATTATGCAAATATTGACTTATGAGAAAATATTTAATTTTACAGTTGTCAATATATCTGCCAGTTAATGACACTGGAAATCATTAAACATTTTGGGCAAGGAGTACAGATTAGTTAAATTTAATAACATACACACAGATCAAAACTTCTGATTTCTGGAATTCTTTCATAATTGTAATGCCCAAATGGTTTATGATATGAATCCCATAAGAACGTAGTTTCAAGAAATTTACAAATACTCATAAAAATTTGTCCTCTCATGACATAAGTAAACATAAACAAGAGAATCTAATATCATCAGCAAAACTCAGAACAATGTTTATGAACAAAATCAAAAATTTTTTAAAAGCATACTCTGCAGATATAACTTTAAACGCCAAAGAAACCCTCCCTTTAATTCAGCTAGTGAATTTCCAAAGCAAAAAAGGCTGAAAATTTTGTTAATTTTTGTGTATGTAAAACATGGATGTTAGATAAGTACAAGAGAGAAAAATGAGGAAGAAAGAATACAAGCAAGGATACCACACAAACTATAATTATTAATGAATAAAAATCAGATGGCTTCAGGGTATGGATGGCTATGACCCTGCTCCTCAATGTGTCCTGCTCAAAAAAAAAAAAAAAAAAAAAAAAAACTCAAAAAAACAAATTAGACATTTAAAAGTTTGTGAAGATATAAACTTCTAGTTTGGTTTATAATAAAATAACGATATTTTTCTGAGTACCAATTCTTACATAAAATAGTTTGCAAAAGCTTAATAAATTCCCAATAATTTACTTAAAAGTCTGAAGTAGAGAAATGCAGTTATACAGAAAAATATATATATTGTATTATTTTGAAAGATTTGATGAGATTCTGCACATAACTAAGAATTTGAATAATATTGACAAACCAATAAAAATAACCATTTCTTTGTTGTCGATAACTCTGCTATGTGTAACAATTAGACTTACTAGTATAAATAAGTGATATTTCTAAAAATTTAAATCATGATTGGCAATTTATGATCTAAAGTTTCTGATAATTAACAGTAAGAAATATATCTTTTGGTGAAATATATACTAGATCAAACATTTGGGAAATATTTGGAGAATGAACCACTCAAACAGTTAAGAAAGAAGAGAAGCTAACTTAAATGGAAAGTTTTTTCAGATAAAAACATCAGTTGCTAAAATAAAGGAGAAAGAGAGAGATGAACAGCAAAGAAAAACAAAAAGAATATAATTAAGAGTCTTTATCACAAAGTCTGTAGGAAATACAAAAATTAAATAAATATGATAGGATGGAAAAAGTTAAACACTTCCCACATATATTCTGAAAAGAATATTAAATATATTTTACATTTGAAAAATGCCTTACATAGACACAACAGCTCTCAAAGTGTTCACTATTTATCCAATATCAGTGGGAAGTACTGTTATACAGCACATATCCTCTATTTAAGAGGGCAGACTTAGTACTTGATTGCTCAAATCCCTTACAACAAAAGCTGATACCATGGTACGCAGCTTTTGAAACTACATATTGCATATTAATTTATGATATGTTTAAGAACCATTGTTACAGGTGTAAAAAAAGTTAGACATAAGATATCCTCTATATCAGTCCTTATGTTGGATTTAAGAACATTTAATATGTCAACTGATTTAAAATGTGCATATCTATAAAAATAATTGAACTTATAAATCATTCAAAGGTGAAAAATACTACGACTATTGTTATATACTTCTAAATATTTTTTAAGTATCAATTCATTCCCTCAAAGAGTTCCTGAGAAATTATGCAGAGAAGGAAATTCAATATTATTTTACGTTGACAAACAAAAACTACAACTAAAAGTAAAACTTTCGCCCATTAGTATCAGCACTAAAGGAGTAAAAAAATGTGCATATGCTCTTTAAAATGATACACATTTTTATATTCATTTGATTCCTTTAGGGTCATTGGGGACAATCCTGAAGCAAACAAGACAATAAAAATAACCTTTACAGCATATTGCTCTCATAATTTCTGTGAGTCTATTCTTCATGAAACCATGTTTTACAGTTAAAATGTTCCAAACTTAATTTCAGAAAATGAAAAGGCAGTTAATTTAATAAATCACTCTAGATTAAGACTTAAATGTGTTTTGTTAACATTAATAATATAGTTCCATGTCATATTTTACTTGGAAAGGAATTATAAATATTTTTAAAATATTTAAAGACATTTGTAAAGTGATCTGTGCACGTCATCTTTTTAAAAATGATAATAAGCTGCTGTATTTTTCTCAATTAGGATAACCATCATTGCATTATTTAAAAAAATGATAGTTTTGTTCATTAAAAATCATTAACTTTGTCAATGTATTATGTTGAATTTTAAAATGCATATATAGCATAAAGTGAAAGACATGTACCTCAAATGTTTTGGCAAAATGAATTTTTATCACATACATTCTGAGGGAAAAAATATCAATCAATAACAAAGAAAAATATGCTATCTAAAATCTGTTTATCCTACCAGGAATTAAAAATTACTACATGTGAAATTGTAGTGTCATGACTCATGAATGAAATCAAAAGGATAGAAAAAATATCTTAATTTAGATGCAGCCTCCATAAAAAGGAGATGTCATCTATATGTCATGATGGACCCTGGGATAATACAGATGGCTGATAAGCCTTGTGCTCTAGCCCCTAGATGCAAATAGGTTTCCCACTCTTTGACAAACACTAGATAGCTAAACAACTACGTGCAGTGCCATCACGTCTAGGAGCAGGCCTCTAATGGGAACTCGGACCAGACCTACTTCATAATGAACCCACATACACTGCTCCCGACTATCCAAAAGGCAGAGCACAGTTTATGTGACCCCAGCATACTATTGTCTTACATTTCAGAACTAGGGTAACATAGTTCATTGTCCTTATCAAAGGGTGAACCACTTCTTTACCATTTTATGGGCCAGAATGTTCTCTGAGACCACAATTTGGTTAGTATTTTCCTCCTAATTATTAGAAACTGGTCTATATATCTTTAACTTGGATCAAATAAATGAAATACAGAGGTGATAAAATTATGAAGCTTATATATTTTGTCAGAGGTAAAAATATGTATGTATATATATATATACATATATACATATATGCCATGCTGTGCAAAGACCAATGGCATACTGCTAATACACTGCAGTACCATAGAGAAGCCACAGGGAATCTGGTGGAACTGAGATTTTTAAAATCTGTATAATTCATAAAAATGTAATTTTTTTATCATTCCTACTATAATTACCTACTATCAGAGAAGTAAATCACTGATAATTTCTGCCTACATGATGTTCCTTTATCTCACTGGGTGAAATATACTAAAAAGATTGCAAAACATGCAAATCTTTGAGCTTCTCATATAGTTTTCTTAAATTAATCACTTGTTATTCTCAAAGTGATTTTAAAAACGCACGATACAATGAAATTGTATCACTAGCGCTAAAGGCACCTGCTTCACTAGTTATTAAGATAGCCAGTAAAATTAAAGAAGGGTAGTAGAGCCCAAATTAAAATGTGCCAGTAGACTGATAATCATTTTGACTTTAAATGTTAATCACACGAGAAAAAGTATGATTTATTGCTCTGAAGAGCCAAACATGGCTATCATTCTTATTCACGTGTGCAACATGAACAAAATCCATAGGCACTTTGTGGCAGATCCATTATAATTAGGTATTCTAGTGCAAGGATTTAACGTAGCATAATGAGATTAAAGGTATGTGAGTTTATTCCATGATGTGTGTGTATTACCGTTTAATATGGACAGCTTTTTGTAATGAATGATTAGTCCCCTACAGGAATTGGTGGGCAGTTAAAAATATGCTATTATATTAATCCAGCAACCTCACCTTGAAAAAAAAATTATAATCTCTCTCTCATACCATTTCCATGAGCTAATGATGATAAAATAAAAGAGATGGGATGTGTGCCAATGAAGTTTTATCTAACAAGGTGTTATTTATAAATAATGTTGCCCATTTTCCCATATACAGGTCTGTGGATTAACACACAGATGACTGTAAAATGAGAATATGCAGCAAAAACACGGTACCCCTCCAAGAAGGCATGGAATGATAGGAACCTTATGCATTTTATAGCCTCTCCATGGTGTGTATAATTTCACCAGGGAAATAAGTGAGCAATATTCAAAGAACATTGTTCAAATATTTCGCAGACTTATGCCGAAGGCAAGAGGATGTCCTTCAGGAGTCTTGAACTGCTTGGACAGGAATTCGGCAGCTGGTAACTTCTTTAGAGTGAATTCATAAACACCATGAATGTCTACTTGAGACCTAAAATGCACAAAGTTGAAGCAGGTGAGTAACCAACCTTGGCGAAATATCGCATCCTTGCTGCATAAAGGCACCCAAGGAAAACCAGAGACTATTAAAAATCCCAAATTCATTAGTTGATTCACTACTTTGTGTTTCTCTTCCATCTTCAAACTCCTCAGTGTGCCACTCGTAGGGGCTAAATCTGCTGACCAGGAATAAAACTACACTGACCCCAATGTAGGCAAAAACAATGCACATCCAGATCTCATAGGCTAAAGGATCAAGAAAGGAAAACACTCCTGGTTTGGACTTCTGAGGCTTCTTGATCATGATAGATATCCCGAGGCTCATGAAGGGCTTTGAGAAGTCAATCACCTCTTCTCTCACAAGGGTAATAGTTAATGGTGCAATTGCAATATCAGCTTTCTGTAAGGAAAAAAAGTAAAATAATAGTACCTGAAGTCATGGTGAAAAGGGAATCATGGTTATATCACTGGATCAAAGAAAAAGGAGAGGAAATCAGAGAAATATCAATAATTATTTCCCTGGTATAGTCCCAGTAAAGAAAAAACAAAAAGGAATTATTCCCCCAATACCGCTCTTCCTCTTATGAATACAAAATATATCCATCTGGGTTGACTATGATCATTACACAGGTGCACTGCATCTATGCATTCATAGCCTTTTGACAATGCATATGGCCCATATGCTCCAGGAGAGATGAAATGTCTATCTCAGTTAATCTGTATGTCTACTTCTGGCTTCAACTTCAATCTTTCAGATGTTCACAAATCAACAACATAGTGTTTCTAGAGTAATGTGGGAAATCAACAACCTCACACATAGGTACTTCACAGGGAGAGGAAGCAGTCTGTCAACAACAATTCAAATTGAATGACTTTACCTATAGAAGAGCTATACTTACCCCATATACAAGTTCTCCAACCATCCCATTCCAAATTTTCGTGTCTGCATCCCTGGCCCCATACTTGCCATCACCAACAATTGTCAACTTGTACTTGAATCCACAATGTTTGGCAATTTCTGCAGCCAGGTCAACACAGTAGCCCTCATAGCGCTCATTGCCTTCGAGCATTTCATGATTTTTCTTCATCATAACATATGGAGATTCCTATATGAAAAGACTTTGCTTTAGCTGATCAAAATATCTGTGTTAATTATGTACTCTCATTGAATCAAATCTTCTGGTTTAATGATTACCTGTTAGCCAGAGTCAATGAAGAATGTAGATGGTGAACAAACAACAGCAGAGGAATAATTTAAGCATAATGCTTCCCCCCGAAAGTCTTTGAATGCCTATCATTATACTTCATTAAGATGGCTTGTACCTAACCATACCAGAGTGAACAAAGTATTCAAAATCATAAACTGTTTGTATGATCTCTAGCCATGTTTGTAATTACTAGGCTGTAGAACAAAATATTACTGCTCAACACCTATTTTATTCAAGTTTGGATTCACCACACCCTTATCCTTCATTAAGGTTATGCCAATCCCAAAACCAGTATTCACCCAAAACCCTGTGTCACTGCTGTCCCAAAGATAAGATTCATGTGGAAATCAGGTTCATGGCCAGTGATACACAGACTGAAAGGATCATTGTCATGATGATTTACTGATTCTACCCCCGCAGGCTTCAGGTCTCACTTCATCTGTGAGATACAATATCCTAGAATGATGCTACAAGGATAGCTAGAGAGTAGCTTCCCCCTGTAAACATAAGAAAAAATGAAGCAAGAAAAAATGAATCAACACAGTCCAATATTCTCCATTGGAAAGTGGCACCAAGGATATTTGGGGTCTCAATGAGATAGTTCATCTCTATGGCATGATAAATGCAAAAATTCTCGAATATCTAATTTGCACTTATTAAGAGATGTTCAATTGCCTACCAATATTTTAATTCAAATCCCTTATCAATATCTCAATATTTGCTTCTCAATATTAGGAGAATAAATCACACCAATTTACAGCTTCACTGCTAAGGCTATTTTTTTTTTTTTTTTGTAAAAAAGAAAACAAAATAGTTTTGTCACAAAATCCTGTCCTATAATGAACACCATTTTCTCCATTTCATTTCACCAACAGCTTGTCATGGTGATCCACATCTCTCTTCCATCTATCCAAAGCCTGGGTGTTGAAGATCCAGTTCAATTTTTCCTTATTCATTCAATATGCATTGATTGTGTACTAGCTATGTGACAACGAGTGCTGAAACTTGGAGTAAAAAGAAGGGAAATCATCCTTGTCTTTAAGAAGAACATCTTTCATTAGATAGAATAAAGACAACTTGACATCATCATAAAATCATGTAACAAATGGAAAGATAGAATTTACACAGCATTGGGTGGGAATGGAAAGGTGAAGAACTTGCAGAAATATGAGGAACATTCTTCAAGACATTTCCCAATTGTTCACCGATGTAAGCACCAGGGGGGTATGAATTATCTATTTAGTTAAGCTATAACTCGTCAATTAGCAAAGCATTTAATTGTTTTCAAAGCCACGTCTGAATCTGAAATTAGACCCACGTTAACTGGGCTTCTTCCTTAAAGAAACAGGAAACATTTTGAATGCTTTAGCTAGATCTTGTGTATTCCTTTTAACAGAGTAAATATGCAATAAATGATAAAACATTGCAAAAGAAGCAAAACAGATACTATTTTCCTAAATTGTAAATAGCTACTCCTGCAGATATTATCCATAAGGAAATACAAAGTAAGCATAAGCATATGTAGGAAATTACCAAAATTGTGGTGACAACAACAGTCTTATTCTCAAGCCCAGAAGTGTCATTTCCAGAAGGGAGCTCAGTAAGAGTAACAACCATTTTGTCCACTTCACTCCAGTAGCCAATCTGGAAAAGGTTACAGCAGACAGACATATGGATAAATAACTTGTCTATTAGCAAAGCATGTCATTATTTTCAAAGCCACGTCTGAACCTGAAATTGGACCCACATTAACTGGGCTTCTTATAAACAGAAATGTATTGTATATATGTGAATCTAACAGGAATGAAAGGAACTATTAAAACATCTTAAAAATTACTTGTTTCTTCATGTTCACTTTTCATATTCTCTCTGAGTAATTGTTTGGGAGTGATCATATAGAAATGCAAATAAAATCCAAATGATGGCATTTGAGCCTAAACAGTTAAAAGGTTGATGTTGAATTGAACAGTTACATACATATTTGCACCAGCTACTTTCTGTCTTCTGAACCGTAAACTTTCAACAATGATTCTTTCTCTTTTCACTAAAGACTTCTGCTTCAGTCTAAAAAATTAAAGTTCAACAGCTCTACTTACAATTATCTCTAAAATTGTAATTTAATGTTACTTACCAGAAATAAACAGACTTTAGGGGGAAAAAAAAGAAAAAAACTTCAAAATATATCTGTTTCTGGAAGTCGTTAAACTCTATATAAATACACAACTCCAGAACTCTCTGGAAAGGTGAGATCATAGGCTAGCTAACTCACCTCCTCACATAGAACTGCCTTTAAATCACTAAGGATTTACCTTCCTGGGCCCATTAGTTTTGAGCTCCATGATGTTAATTGTATAGTTTATTCTTTTTCCATTCTGGTCAAACTTTATATTTCCTGAGAGACCTTCAACCTGAACCTAATGAGGAAATGGGAAAGGAGCAGAGTTGTAAATTTACTTCAACCAAACATACACACTGTACAGATTACTTTTACCAGCTGAAGTGAATAAAATAACATTGATAAGGTTTATTTTTCTCTTCGACCTACCTTTGTGTTGTTAGAAAAGAACATTGCCTGTATATTAAACATAAGGAATAAGACAAGGATGACTAATTCAGCAAGAAGAAAACATAAATGGCCATATGAAGTCATGATATGATTTAAGATATTAATAATCTTAACAATTATTTTGAGTGACTGACCTGTTTGAGGGCCCGTTCTATTTCTACACCTTGTCCCCAGGGCACTGCTGGGTTCGCCAGACAGTCTCCTGCATTCCCCCTTCGAGAGATTTCAATTCTCTGCTTCCGTAGGTTGCGGAAGGCCTCGGTCATCACTTGAACGGCATCATAGGTGAGAGCAGAAGTATACTGCAAAGAATCACACACATTTCATAAGAATAGGAGAAAATTCAGACACTCACTGCACACTGGCAATCAAGGCCACAGTTGCTCATCACATAATACCACATAAAAGTCCAAGAATTTAAACACAATTTCTCCATCTAGAAACCGAAGAACTGAAGAGAAGCATTACAGAACATAGGGAATATGAAATGTGGTCTTGACTCTAAACATTTTCTATTACATTAATGTCTCAGCTATTTCAGGTGAGACCTTTTCACATAATAACTGTGTCAATGTTTCTTTTTCTTTCTTTTCTTTCTAACCTGCTTCTTGTTACAGCCTCACTTTATAGCCTGTGATAGTGATATACAAAACTATTAAATGAACAATTAATATTTTTTACAATCTAATGAGAAATTCATTTGTCAATGCAGAAGGAATATGGATGAATTTGAGGATTCTTAGTCTTTAATTCAACCCTGGTCATGCTCACATAGATCTGCAATGGTCTTAGGGTGTCTATTTAGGCTCCCCTAGGTGATTCTGGAAATCAAGTAGAGGAACAACAAAACATCATAATTTCTACGCCCCATGCCTCCATGCTTCAACAGTCTATGATAACATTGGTTCCAAACTTATAGTATTCAGATCCCAGTGGGACAGCAGAATTGTTACAGGTTCTGGGGCCAAGCAGATTAATACCACATGTATCAGGCATTGTCGGTGTCTGGATAAACAGTAATATGTGCATGTATATATACTGCCATTTGTCAAATGATGGGTGCTGTCATTGTTAATGATTAATTACAGTTCGACATTAAAATTTTAGTGAATTTTTTGCCATTATTTTTCAAACTGTAGGTATAAAAAGTATGATGAGGCATGGGAGAAAAAATGTAATACTGTACCACATTGACTTTGCCACGCGCTAAATTCTTGACCACAAATCCAAAACAAGTACTCAGCATTACCAAATAATCCTTCTCAGTTCCTTAACATTTCGGGTCTTCCACTCTACAAAAATGATAATTTCATCTTTGTCTTCTCCAAATACCCAGACCTCCACAAACATCTCTTTCTCTAAATTCCTGCTGAAAACCTTATCATCCTTGCCATGGAAAAAAGACAAGCCATCTAACAGCAAAACCACTAAGCTCCCCATACTCTGCTTTTCTCCTGATATGACAATGCAGGACATCTACTTAAGAAAAGACTTCTTGAAGCACATAAGAAATATCACATCAAGATACATCTGCTTCCTTGTATGCTTCTTTCTATTCTAAAGGAAAAAAATCCATTGATTTATTTGTTTTTTATACAGTAATAAGTTTATTGCCAAAATAATTCTTACAATATTGTCTAGGTCTCTGAAAAAGAAATGTAACCTAAATTGAATACGTTGAATATTTTAAAATATTACAGTTTGTATGGAAATTATGTTAATATCTAAAAGCCAAAATTTGTGACTTAGCTTTCTCACATTACTAGGGGAAAGCTATAAAGCCATCTACTAAATGTGTTTGAGGTCTACAAATGTTGGTTAACTACATTAAGAAAATATGATGAGCTTGAATGAACTGAAAGCATTTAGATCCATGCAGCATATTATAATTATGATTCAGAGTACACGCACATTAAGAGTAAAAATCCTTTCAACCTTTTTCAAATGCTCAAAACGAATCAAGTCTTAAGCCTATTACCATTTTAAATTAAAAGTCACAATCATAGAAACACAATTCTGAGCTGAGAGAAAATCAACAGCTTCTGTATTCAGAGTTCTTTTTTTGTTTATGTTCTGCATGTATGGCTCATTTATTTTTCTAAACAAATATGTTCACATTTTTGATTGGATAGTTAAATATTTCAGTTTTATTCTACCATTCATTAAACTAGATGTAAATTAATTTGAAAGCAGCATGATGGCAATGTAACTATCTTCTTCTTTGAAAACAAATGCTGCATCTCTGCCCCTGTGTTTATGTTCTGTGAAATCCTTCAGTTGAGTTGGAAATTTATATTTCAGTGGGGGACCATTATGCTTTGCAGTGCTATATCTCAATCACATCATAGCCACACATTAAGAATAAATCTGTGCAATCGTTTTTATGGCCCATTTTCCAAATGTGCTTTTTACTTCACTTTAAATGTATGAATGTATGTTTATTAAGACTTAGTTTTTTAAAAGAAAATAAAATAAAATATACATTTTAAACATGTTTGTTATGTCCAATAGTCATCACTCAAACCAGTCAATAATACGTTACTGTAATCTCTGATATCCAGAAAACAGTATTCTAACACCAAAAAAACGGCTGAATGAAAAGAAGTTCTGTGTATATCTCAAATTTAATGAACATAAAAGAGGATAAGTAGGCTAGAGTTTAAACTTTCATGGATTATCATAATGACAGCACCTTTTTCTAAAGACATTATATACATCATAATATTTTTTTTAAAAATATTCAAAGAAAAAGTACTAATATTTAAGTACTATGAAAGTGTTACATTTCCCATGAATGGCCACTTTCACAGAAATTTTCCTTAACACTTGAATTTAGTTAACTATAGTTTACAAAGAATTGCATTTAGCATCAGAAGACAGGGCTCAAGCCCCGATTTTATTATTTACTGTTCTATTGCCCTGGGTAAGTGAACTGAAGTATTAGTGTCTAAGGTTGCTTAGTAAAATAAGGAGAGCAGTGCTTCTTTTGTCTATAAGAGTGTTGAAAACGAAGGTGGGGGAAAAAGTTCATGTTTACCTAGTTTTCTTTGTGACAAGCCTGAAGTAGGCAACTTCCTAGGAAGTATTAAAAAAAACCCTATGCAACAACTGTTTTTATTCCAATTCAATAGGTGAAGGTCTAAGTAATAAACTTTCATTTTACCCAGCTTCACCAAAATGAGTGGCAAAAGTGGATTTGAATCCAGATCTCTGTGATTCTGAGGTAATTATAGTGACAGATTGCCCTGGTTTGCCTTCGATTGTCACAATTTTGCAAGGAAAGTCTTGGGTCCCTGGAAACTTCTCAATCCCAGGCACACTGGGTTAGTTGGTTACCTTATTTGGCAAATACTTTATCAACCAAGTAGATGTGTCGTAAATGAGAAGCTTGATGAGTTGTAAAATATGCATCCTGGCCCCTGAATGATGACTTGGTGGTCTCATCTACTCAGCCTCACACATGCGCATGACAGCTGACTGGGATCGAGAATCATGCTTCCTGCCATGGACACACAGGTCTCCCAGTCTAATCCCACCCAATTCCAACTCCTTCCCAGGATTCACTCCTGGCCCATTAGGAATACACTAATGACCATATAGATGCTTATTTTGTCATTATTTCACACATGTAGATGGGGCTGACATTCTGCACTATCTCATTTTCCATTTTTGTGCACTTAACCCAACTAAAAGGCAGCTGTCTGCACCAGCTCTGAAACCCTTTTATCTGTCCCTCTCTCTACTCCCAACTCTCTGCTTCTCTCTGAATCTCTCTCTCCATCTCTGTTTTTTCTGTATCTGAGCTTTTTCTCTCCCTCTTTTCTCTCTCCCTTTCCCTCTCTCTCTTTCTCACACACACGCACACACACACGCACACACACACTCCCCAACAAGGAATGCTAATTGGGCTCCCAAGTGAATTTGCCTCACCCCTACAGACAGAAGTAAGTCGAGATGGGTTACAGAAGGCACACACACACACACACACACGCACGCACACACACACACACACAATGTTATACATATAAGTTATTGACCAATAGGTTGGCATTCTCTCCTTTTTTTGCTACCGTCTGTCTCTCAGCAAAACTAGTGTGTTTTTACAATGTTTTGAAAACTACTATCCCACTCCACACAAACAGGGTTCTGTGATCTAATAAGTTCAGAAAATGATTTTCACATTGACATATTATAGACCCTCAGAAATCGCTCAATAACAGCGTAACTGTTTAATTAGTATTTCCCAAACGAATTACCAATTTTGAAATATCTTTAACACCAATTATTTTCCATAAGAATAGTGTTTTATGTAACATACTTCAGGATGTTAAAGCTTTATCGCCTGGTATATTTTACATACTCGTTTCTAAAACAGCCTCGATTATTTAGTTAAAAAAAATTATTACACATTGAATGATATTCCTCTAGAGAATCACGTAATATTAATTCTCAGTTTCATCCTTTTACAAAATAATTAAAAACGGGTTCAAAAATGATGATTTCTAGGAAAAGTAGGTAAATCTGTAAGAAAGTTTTTAAGAAAGTTTTTTTTGTTTTTTTTTTAAGGTTGCCAACAGTGACCAAACTAAATAGGACCATAAGACAAATGAACAGTATGAGGAAATATATTATAAACTTAAAATTATTCACTTATCTTAATTTCAAATTCAACTACAGTCTACCCTGTGGAAAAGAGCTGTCGGTGATAAGGTCATCTTTAATTTACTGTAAAGCATATTGAATATGTGCCCTTTGAAACTTCACTGCAGAAAGGCATAAAAATCTTCATAAAAACCTTAGTAATCACACAAGCTCTATCACATTTTCCAAGGGTGAAAAGAGAGCTGTATTGGCAAGAAACCTAAATTAACATCTTTTATTATTCACCATGAATAATAAAATAATTTTAATCTACTGTGAAGAAAGAGTCTTCATGTAAAAGGAATATATTAAAAACAACATATTTTTGCCTAAATTACCCAAATTGGCTATTAATCTTGACTGAAAATCTTAACTTACATATTAAGAACTTTATATTCAGAAACTTTAGGTTACTTAAGAATTCAGATTTTCAGATAAAACTAATTAGATTCACCAAGACAGAAAAAAGATGCTCAAGTAAAGGCATGCTATGGTTTTGATTCAACCATATGTAAAGACTTCCTTAGAAGCAGATCTTTTATTTTGTTAGTTGAATAACTCTCTCTCCTTAACTCTCTACTTTCTAAAAGTCTGATAACAAGGCGAAAGTTCTTTATTTTTTATGATCTATGAAAAACAAAATATATATCGACCAGAGCAA